TTATTTTATTACTGAGAAGCTGGTATGGCAGATCACATGTGTCTAGTGAGAAAACTTATTTGGTCTAAGGAAGAATGAGAAAATTTAGGCTTCCATTTAATTATTGTGCTGCTATAATACTTTATTGTCAAATTATGCAGAGGAATATTTTCTGTATATATGTACTCAAGAAGGTTTTTTTTTAATTGAGGATTTTTTTTATAATTCTACAGCCATATTATTTTATTCATATTTTATTATCTATTATTTGATCCACTAGTGCATGCAAATATTGTGATGAAGGGGGAGGGACAATAAATCATTTATTGATGTCAATAATCCACAATTGATTCATAATCATTCCGCTCACCCTAGATCCATGTCACAAAATTGTTAGTAATGGTGTGAGAACTGAGCTCAAAGATGATACACCCCACCCCATGCACCCCCTTCTGCGCTCCTATACGAGTATACATGTAATCGTTTTCAAAGTTTTTGGAAAGCATCAGATATGCATGTGTGACTTTGTGTCTGATCAAACCTAAAATAGAAGATGCGAAACGACATATACCACAAAGTTTGAGTTGATGAATGGGGCACTATACCAAGCAAAAATTCCTTGATTACATGTGTATCAATAAAAATTTCAACAGAGGCTATACTTAGTATAAATGAGGGCCTGGGATAGAAGTATACACGTTTTTAATAAAAAATTTATATTTTGCATTAGTGATAGTATTATATATTTTGACACAATTATTTGAGTGCCCCACCCCCCTTTATTCGGTTCCTAGGGCGGTGACTATGCGTTCTCACTAGGAGTATTTTACCCTATCTTTGGACTTTCAGTAGGGCGTGACTTTCTCGGCGCTACGTAATGGAGAATACAAGTAGATTCTCATTGGTTACGAAATTAATAACATAGGAACTTAAAATTGTTGTTGATAACGATCAGACGACTTATGCCCCACCTCTGTGCCGTGAGAGAACTTTTAATTGGCTATTTACTACACCAGTTGCATTGGCGGATCCAGAGGGGGGGTTCCGGGGGTTGGAACCCCCCCTTTATTTTTTGCCAAGTTGAGAGAGAGGGGGGGGGGATAAACATTTTCAGAGAATAAATATTTATACGTCTAACTTATGTATTGACTAGATAGATTCTCATACATTTAGTTTCCTCCACTCACCTTAACTATTACTCTTTTATGAAAGAATGGTAGAAACTATTCTACTTATTCTTATATATCTTATATATGATATATGTTACATGCGAAATTTAATTTGATATTAGATTCCCGCGATCTTAAGCTGCATGTGTTGGCTGTCTAATGTACCGTTTTTTGATTATATCTTTCGAAGGAACTAGCATGTACCTCTTTATTTTAAACCTCAACCGCACCCCACCCCAAAAACAAAGAAGTTTTTCTTTGTAATCTTCGGAAATGCTGCAAATGCATTCAATTTTTAGGCTTCAGTAGTTTTTGAAATGTGTTTCCTATTTTATAATTATTCGGACTGGGGGTACGTACCTTTTCAAAGGAAAAAGGACCTAAAACAAAGATATAATTTACCACAACCTTAGATCTTTCCATACGTGTGTGTGAATCCTTCCTTGAGACTGTGTAGGGGGGGTTAAAGGGACACAACCCTGGAACCCCTCCTTTCAAAAATGGCTGGATCCGCCCCTGAGTTGACATTCGGCCGCATTTCTATCATATGTATATTTCAACACTGAAGGGAAGCTGTGTAAATTTCAGAAGCTAATTAGGTAACGTCGAGAATGCCACGCCTTACTGAAAGTCCAAACTAAGCGTGTAATTCTTCTATCTCATCATAACTGATCAATAATGACCCTTACTGCAGACCATAGATTTGTACTCTTGCCGAGTATTTACAGAAAGTATATGACATGTTTCCTTTTATTTTAATAAAAGAAGGTACATGTACATTTTTCTTTTTTCGTTTGGAGTCGTATTCATAATGCATTAAACCTTGTGAACTTATTTTCATAACACATACAGTGAAGCACGTGAGACGTGGCCTTGAATTTCTTCCTTGGAAGTTTTGTGGTGATACAGAATAAATCATAGTCTCAGAAAGAAGGTAAGTGTCACACACAGAGATTAGAGAATTTTTTTTAGTTTATATTAATTGTTAAGTACAAAGAAAACATGCAACATTCTAGCAGTTGTTCAAAAACACGTGCGTTTTTTTCCTTCCGTGTTTATCATGTTTATGTTACAAAATAAAAAGTATGGCGACCTCTTTATGCCACTAGTGCAATTTTTTGCGTTTGTTTAAAAAAAGTCATAAAATGCTGTTAGACATTTATTTGACGTCTAGATTGTTTTTTTTAGAGATATGAGCAATAAAGTTTATGGAGTCGCTGTCATCGGTCTTGGTATTGCGGGACGTGTTCGCGTGAGAGATTTAACGAATAACACGTCATACAACAACATCCAGTGGTGTTTGAAAGGATTTGTCTCAAGGTCCTCTCCCCCTTATCTCTCTCTGTCTTTCATTAATTGAATTGAAATTAATATTATTTTATTTTGATAAAAGAATATGAATGCGTGAGGTCATAAAATTCTTTTCTATTCGTTGTGCAGGCGCAGTTTAGAGATAGACGGTGCTCAACAGTTGACGGAGAATGAGGTTTTTGACAGAAAAGACATTGATGCTATATTGATTTGTACAGAAAATGGACAACATGAGCGACTAGTCAGGTTAATTATTTCTTATACTCTGGAAATTTCATTGTGAGAGGAAAAGGTCCGCGGGGGGGGGGGGGGATAAGTTTGCCATTGTATTGTAGTATTGTATACACGGTACAAAATATAGATTATCAAAGGCTATGGAACCGAACCCCAGTAAAACCCTCCTTTTGTATTTTGATAATGATAGGAGCGGAATAGAGAATGGTAAACACGTCCTCTGTGAATTTCCATTAGCTCTGTCCTCTAATGCTGCAAAGGAGTTTTTTGAACAAGCTGAAAAGAAAGGCAAGTTCCTGTTGATAAAATTTACTACAATTTAAAGTCATCGACATATAATATATTGGATCTAATTTTTATTAAATTGAAATATTTACGTTAATCTAGGTGTTATTCTTCATGAGGAAAATATTGGTTTGTTAAACGACTACAAAGAACAACTTAATAGCAGTCCTATTCCATGGAAACACTGCGACATCTCACTCAAAGGTTGGTCCATAAAAATCGGAACAACGTGTGCTATACATGTATAAATAATATTTAATGCAAAAAAACTTTGTATTAGTCACTTCACTTTATGATAAAAGAGTTGATCGGATTAGTAAAAATTAATTCTAAGTGTAGATCAATCAGGAAATTTTCACCTTGTTTTTTTTCTAAATTTTTAAGGTAATGTATTTGATAGGAACTTGCATAAAATATAAGAAGATAAATTCTTTTCCTTGTGTTCCTTTAATGCAAATGTTGGATATTTTTTGATTTATAAAGGAAGATACAATGGCTGGGTGGAAGATCATGAGAAATCAGGGCCACCCTTTGTATGTAACATTTCACTGGTAGAAACCGCTTGTCATCTGTGTGGTGACGTGAAAGCTGTGGGTGGTTCCTACAGTACCACAGAGTCCAGCTTTGAGGCGGTGGCTCAGTTAGAAACCACAGATAAGAGGTGATGTACCTTGGGAAAACTTTTTATGTAATATTTTCATATCGTGCCTAACTTTGACTGACATACTGGGCGAATTTTTGTATAATTTTCATGTAAACTACTTTTCATTGGCTATTACACAAGAAAGCCATTTCGCAAAAAATTCAATCTTGCATATGATATGTTAGTATTATCAGAAATTATTAGTTAATCAGCAATAACATGAGAAGTGAAAATTTTGTCTTGGTTATAATTACCAAATACCATTCTCGCAAAAAAAAAAAAATGTCGCGAAAATTTGGTGATATTTGGTAATAGTACCCAAGACTTAGTGTTTTGGTCGAATAACAGCTAAAGATCTAAAATCAGACTGCATGTACTTTTTGTGAGGTATCAATTTCTGAAACTCATTTTAGTCTAAATTGTATCATTATATTAATTACAGAACAGTTACCATTTCTCTGAAGCGATCGAAAGATAGTGACGGGAGAGAAAAATCCATTGTATTTCAACTTCAAGACGGGAGCGAACTCAACCTGAGACCGTCCAAAATACCGGGAGCAAAGCTGGGTAAAATATTAAATTAATATTAAAAATTGACGAATGCTCTTATTTAAGAAAAGAACCCATCCCTCTTTGTTACTGGTAATTGAATAACAAGGGGGGAAGTTTCTAAACTAAAGGGGTGTTTTTAAATTTTTTTTGATAGCCAATAGAGAGCAACTTTAAAAAAAAATCATTTTATTGTAATTATTTCAGTTTAAATTAAGGTATAAAATCACGTTTAGTTTGTTAATTGTTGTTGCACAGGTTTATTCATGCAAGATTTCCACAAATTTATGGAAGAGGTAGTCAGTGGTAAAACAGACCAGGAAATGAAATCCAGAACGATACGAGCTTTAGAAATAGCCGAGGATATTCATCAAGTTATAATGCCGAAATTGTAAATAATTTATTCTGAATAAATATAATATTATTATGGACATTTTTTATCTTTTCACCCAGTTCTATGTCACCGTATATATCCCTACATGCGGGGTGTAAACTATATATGTTTTGTTTTTCACGGTAAGGGCAACGGCTTTCATTCTTCACATATGTAATCCTGAGTGAATAACTTTCATTGAATACCAAGAACTTTGACTTGGCTTTGACCTTGGAGTTTGACTTAATTTTAAAAAACAAACATTGACCATAACTTTGAAGGGTTGGGGCTAGGGCTATCTTACTTCAAATATTTAATCCTTGTGACAAGCCCTTTCATTGGATATCAAAAACGTTGACCCTCTGACCTTAGAGTTTGACATATATAGCTACTTTTTAAAAACTTTAACCTTGGCCATATCTTTTCATGGTAAGGGCTAGGGCTTTCATACTTCACATGTATAATCCTTGTGAGAAGACCTTTCAATGGATACCTAGAACCTTGACCTTGGAGTATGACCTAATTTTTAAAAATCTTTAACCTTGGCCATAACTTTTTTACGGTAAGGACTAGTGCTTTCATACTTCATATATGTAATACTTGTGACAAGACCTTTCTTAAAAAACCAACAACTTTGACCCTTGGGTATGACCTACCTTTCAAAAACTTATTCTTGGCATAACTTTTAAGCAGGTGGTGCTAGGGCTTTCATATTTCAAAAATTGTATCATATTTCTTGTGAGAAGACCCTATTTTGGGTACCAATATATTTAATTTGCATTTAAGAAATGTTTAATTTTCATTATATTGCCATATGAGGCCATCAGTGTTTCACAAACACATCTTGTTCCTTATGACTTTTGATTGAGATGGGGATTTTTTATTTGGCATGTGCATTACATGTATTTCCGAGATTGCTATGATTTCTGACCCCTTGACCTTAACCTTCACGATTGACCTCATTAAAAAAAATCAACTTCTTTGATAATTTCTAAATGACATTTGATAGGGCGTTCGTATTTGACACAATGTATCTTAAAAAAATGACATTTCGCCCTCAAGACACCGAGAGCGGGGGACCACATTATCCTTGAATATGCTTCAAGCTAAAAATAAGGGGTTTATGCAAGCTATTCCCACTTTCTGAAAATCAGGTAGAAAAAGGTGAAATTTCACGTGGGAGTAGGTGGAATTTTGTGTAAACAAATAATTAACTATGTTCTTAAATGTAGGTATTAAGTTGCTATTTCTTGTAAGATCTTTTTATTATTTCAAAAATCTGAAATAAATCATATTTTCTCATAGATGTATTCATTATTTTCTGTCTTTAAATGTACAAAATACAGGTAAATCTAAACATCTATTGTTATTTGCAAGTGGGAAAAGGTGGAATTGAGATTTTTAAAAAGCAAAATAAGGTAGCTGCAGATCTGTATAGCGTTATGGTTTTATATATTTGTTTTTGGCCATAACACTACAGATCCCTTAATGCAAAAAGGTGCAATTTACGGTGAAATATTTTCGCGCACTTTTTGGGAGAATTACTCCACTTTCTAGCATTGGTCAATCAACTACCTTTCACTCCCTAATTCTAGACACATTCTGTAGCCAATATGTATAATTATTTTATCCACCTCCCAACCATTTATAGTTGTCTCTGCAGGCAATAAACTCGCTGGAAGTGAATTTTCAGCAATATAACAAATAATTTAAATCAAGCGAGTTTATCACTTGCAGAGACGACTATAAATGGTTGGGAGATCGATAAAATCAGAGGCACCTGACGTTACTTATATTTCTTTAAATAAAAAAAAATATACCCTTACCTATAATAATAAACTTTTATTATTTTGTTCAAAGAAAATTAAGTAACGTCAGGTGTCTGTGGATAAAATATACAGATTAGTTAGATAATGTGAATGAAAGGTAGTTAATTGACAGATGTTGGAAAGTGGAGAAATTCTCCCCAAAAGTGCGCAAAAAATGTCGTGCCGTAAATTGCGCCTTTTTTGCATTACGAGATCAGTAGCGTTATGGTTTTAGACAAATATATAAAACCATAACGCTACAGATCTGCAGCTAGCTAAAAGGGTGTGTGAACACGTTCCGAAATTCATAATTTTAAGATAACTTTTTAAGATAAAACAATTTTTTTAATTATGTGTGAAATGCAACAGCACCATACATAAGTCATGATATACAAATAAATAAATAAAAACTGAGAAAATATTAACTTCAAATCAGTGTCCTGGCTCCATTATATTTGAATTCTCAGTATATTACTACCAGAAGTCATGTCATAATAATATACACTGTATACATGCAGGGACATTTTCGCCCCCGTTTAATTTTCGCCTCTTCCGCCCTCGACCGAGATGGGGAAATTTAAAATGGGGCGAAAGTACACAGTATAATTTCTGAAACAGAACTTGCAAATGTGAAAATAACACGGGGCAAATTAAAATAACCCAGTATACAGTAATATTAAAATATCATTACAGTGTATTATTTTGTAAAAGTCGGGTTAGAGTGCGTCCACCTATTGGGTGACGTCATAATAAGAACGCGTCATAATGCTCTGACGTAACAAACGTTGTTAACTATAATCATTTTGCCGATTTGCAAACATAGGGAATTAACTTTGAGGATATATTATATTGCGAAAATGGAGAGATTTGGAGACAAGACCATGGAAGAATGTCTTCAAACAAGCCTTAAGGAATATTTGTCAGGGACCAGTACCCGGGCCATGACCCAAGTGGTAAGCTTCAGCATAAATTGTATGATGATATATCTTATCAATTTTTAGAAAATTGATTAATAAATCGTACTAAAGAACTATGACCTTTTAATACAAGCATCGGCTGATTACACGAATGACTTTACATGTAAAGAAAAATGTATAAACATTTTCATGAATATTTATTTTTCTTCCCATTTATTTTATAGAGACGAAACATTCTACAAATGCTTATCTTTCTGTATGGAAAGGAAACGGCAGACAAGCGGGTTGGTTTTACATACTCTGAGAAGAGAGACATCGCTGGTAACGATCAAAATTCTCACTTTGCTATAAGTACTAGTCTTATAGATTTTAAAACCATTTACAATGTATCATATATATGTAACATATAACATGTCTTTTTGCTCATTACCAGTTCAACAGAAGAGGTTCATCATATTTTCCTACCTCTTCATTGATGCTCTGAATAAGGATCGAATAACAGAAAAGGACATTGCCACCCACAACAGACTATGGACACAGCACGTGGTGCACCTTATCAACAGTGGTAAGTCCTAGTCAATTACTTTTTGTTAACAAAGTTTAAATTAGAAAAAAAACAAACAAACAAGCATTTTTCTTTATATATATAGTGTCTATATGGTATAGGTTTTGAACTCCGTAAATCTCACCGTGCCTTAATGAATTTTAGCTTCCAAAATCCATCAAGAATTAGGCTAAATTTAGTTATCCTAATATTTTATTTTATTTCTACAGGAAAAGAGAAGGCAGCTAAGAAGTATATACGGATTCTTGAGGACAGTGGAGACACCTTATTCAATGTAGGTACAATCTCTGTGATGCCACTTTTCTATTCGTGCCTATATACGTATATAAGCTGTTTCTTATTTTTTTATTGTGTTTATTATTGGCACTACACTATTGTAGTTAGTATTCTTTAACCTTTAAAGTCATATATGGCGTATTTTTTATAACTTCAGACTTACTAAGATTTAAAAGATCTTTTTATATGTTTTGTTATTTTATATAAAGATAGGACTTTCCTATAAATTACTCAATTTAAATCAATCTCGTTTTATAGATATCACATATTTAAAACAATAACCGATTTATTTCCGACTCGGATAAAAATATCAGACACAGTTTAAAGTCAATTTAACTATAGACTTGTGGTGATTTTTAAGTTCAAAATCGGTGAAAATTTTAATTCGGAGGTAAGTAACAAATATCTGGTAAATCTACAATTAATCTTGTACATGTATTTTTATTTTTTGACTCAGATACTCCAGATATAGCTTTAAAACATTGTCCTCGTTTAATTGTAAACAATTCAATTTTGATTTTACAGATCAAGAAATTTAAACGTGACATACTCAAAACACCAGACTTTGAGTTCTTGGCTGAGAATTACGATCATCAGACAGAAGCGGGCGGTACAAAGGTGTTCAGATTCAGACGACCAAATGTAGTCCAAAGGATGATGATAAAGCTTTTTGGATAGGGTGAACCTGGGATATTTTTCTGAGAGAAGACTTACAGCATTAAAGAAAACCAGCAAACTGTGCATTGATAGCCATCATGCTATCTTAGTCCTATCCTGACTTTAAAACTGATACGTGCATATGTTCAGCCAGTTCAGCCACATTTTTTGGAGGGGGGGGGTTCATTCTTTCGATCATTGTTCAAAATAAACGCATTTTCACTTTCAGTTGTGTTGGTTTTATTTTACTTATAAAATCTACTCTATGTAATGAATTGTCTGAGAAAAAATGTGTTCGTACAATGTATCTATAACAATGTATGCATTTTGGATTGCCTTAATACTCTGAAGGAGAAAATATGCATAAATGATAAATTTTAAAATAGAATTACACCTGCTTTGGACATGTTGGATTATCTTTAAACATTGGCGTCGGAAGCAAATTGAAAGTGGGGGGGGGGGGGGCTTTAAAAATTTTTTTGTACCTCCAAAAAGAAAAAAAAAAATGACAAGCAAAAAAAAAAAAAAAAAAAAAAAATGTTCATTTCCCAAACACGAAAATCCTGTTTCGGGGGGTGGGTGGGGGGGGGGGTCGAACTCCAGTACCAAAAATTTCCTTCCAAACACCACCACTTTCCCCATTTTTAACCTATACTAAGACGTATCTGTGGAAAGTGGGGGGGGGGGGGGGGGCCTTGTTCAATGTCTATACTAAATATATATTTGGACAAAAATTACATATGTTAAATGGTAAATCGTCAGTGCTCTTCTTAATCTTTGTCAGTCAAAAAAAAAATAATATGGAATGCCTTATTATTTATTTAATTATTTTTTAAATTTAATAAATAATAGCTAGAGACCCATGGATCGAATTCCAAATGCTCTAAAAATATTACTAATTTTCTTCAATCAGAAGTTCGAAAATTATAGGCATTTAAAAATATAGATTTATACTTGACCTAAGAAATCAAATACTAGTACATTAAACACGCTTCTCTTTGTTATTTTAATATAAAAACAATTTATACGGACTAACATTATAGATCTGATATCGTGTAATTTTGTGGAAAGCTTTCCATGTCATTTTTTTTTTTTCAATCGGGTTTGGCGTTCATTGCATGATATTTCCCGCCATTAAATGATAAATGGTTACGACGGATGTCAGATTTGTTGTAGCCTAATTACTTCTGTTTAATTTCATTTGATTACATCTAACAATCCAGGTAAAAGTTTGAAATTCATCTCTCAAAAAACACACTTTTGGCTAATATCTGTCAATCTGTTACTGTGGGAGTCTATATATAGAACGGGGATGTGAAACACGTGTATTTGTTTATTCGACCTTGAACTTTAAAGTGCGAACAAGTCCAGACTTGTTCTGGCGGAATGGCAATTATCCACGTTTTATATTACCTGACTTCCTGTTTGTGTGTAAGATTTTATTGATTTGAGTGATATCTGAACCATTGACAATGACATTGTGCCCATCCCCTTGATCCCAGGAAGTTCTGCAGAAAACACCCGGCGTGCGTGTCCGAACAAGTTTGGAATTTTGACGTGCCATTGGTCATTAAAAATGAATTTTAAATGCAGTGTGATATTGTGCGAGATTTAAATGTTCATATTTGAAGCCGAGGTAAGATTGGTCAGCTAGAGACTCTAGTAGACTAGAGTTAAGTTTTTCATCATATTTCACTGATTCTCTTACCTACAAAGCCAAATTAGGCCTATTCTGCATTGTTGAAAATTTGACATTTTCATCAATGTTCATTTGTGAAATGTGTCCCAAAGTTACAGACGAAATAAATGACAGGAGTTTTAATACAATTAACGATGATTAATTTGCACCATAAACCTAATCTCCCATAAGTTTTCAATATTTCATTTTAGAAAAATTAACTTGAAACTGCGGTTTCAATTTTCATGGACCAGAGATATTAGATATACAAGACATAAAAAAGAAAGAATATCTAAAATACCAACCAATTTAGTCAAAACACCTGAAAAAAACAAAAAAATGTAATTTGCATTTGCTTATTGAATAAGTAAGAGATAGGAATGGAAAAAGGGGGAAAACTTTTTTGTCTGAAATTGGACAAAGATCTTGGTTTTTTTTTTCCCATTAATTTACATTTAGGTACCTTAAAGTAAGAGAAACATCTCACTTTCTTAATATAATTGCTATTATCTGGTTGATAGTATTGCCCTTAGGGACATATAGCATGAGTTGGCGACTCATTGGTGCATTTTGTACAAAAATAGCCATGATGCAATACATGTGTAGTATGTCGTTTTACAGAAATTTCACCTGGAATTTTTTTAAGCTGATACATGTGTATTGGATAAAAATTATAAATGCATGTAGATGATGCTTAGAAAACAAACGAACAGTGTTTGAAGATTTGCTGAAGCCTCAACTTTAGAGAGTACGGTAAATGGTATCTTCTCTTGAACTCACTGGATTTTCTGAAACCAGGCAAAATGCCACCAGGATTTAAGTTGGTGATTTTCCTGAAACCTCCATGGTGAGCAGAAAAAGATGTGCTTGTTTGTGAGGGAAATATTGAATTTAATTCAAATCGATGTCAGTAGAAATTGAAATTGTTGCATATTTAATTTGTGGACATGCAGATTTACATAATGCCAATGAATTTTAAAAGCCTTAAGTATCTATCAAATGCACTAGCTGCAGTACATGTAGTTTTATGTCTGGATAAGTATGTTCAAAATATATGCAGTCACTATATCAATTATTATAATTAATGACTGTAAATTAAAATTTTTTAACATATTGCTGAGAATTTAATCTCATTTATTTAGTTCTAACAGTTCAGACAGCAGTTGAGAATGAATGAGACTTTAAAATTCCATACAAAGTTTGTATCTTGAGAAAAGTAATCAGAGAATTTTTTTCTGCTTTAATAGCTGCATATTATTACATGTATCATGATGTATTACTAAGATACAATAACATTATTTAGTTTTTTTGAATTTCTTTCTCTTAGTATGGCAGAGCATCAGAAAGATGAACCGGTTTTGAAGGATGGAACAGATCGAGGTCAGGTATGTATTTGCTTGGTTGATTTACTAAGGACAGGAAATGTGTTTTATCTAAATTTTGTCATTTTTAACAATGACGAAATTGTGAGAGTCGAGAACTCTTGTTCAGACTTGTCTGCAACAAGGAATTATTACTACATTATAAAATGTGTGGATTTGAAAGTTTTGCGCACATTTCTGTAACCATGGATTCTCTGTTTAGGCGGTTCATTGCTGTGGTTAATATTAGTGAGGTAAAATTTAAAATCATTTTTAAAAAACATTTAATGAATTTAAAGTTTAAGTAATTTCGAGGGAAATATCTTGGAGGAAGAAAAGTTCACTTCAAATTTTCTTGATATGAAAAAAATTTTTATGGTAATAATGGCATGAATAAATTTATATTTTTAATTAAAAAAATTATAGTGGCATTTACATCTAGTGATTGGAATTTCTAAATGTTTTATAAAAATTTATCATACTTTAAAAGGCGAAATTATTTCATAGTGAGAAAACATTTTGTCCAATGTTTAAGATGGAATTACCATGATTATACAGTTGTCTGATCTTTAAAGTTTAAAAAAGTTGATTGTAAACTTTAAAAATTTAGAAAATAATAGAATGCACATCTTCATTAGCCAAGGCTTGGCTAGCGAGATGTAGAATGCATTTTACAATCTAAAATAGCAGAAAAATAATATCCATAGATATTGAAACTACAAGTCAGCTTTTAGAGAGATACTGAAAAAAATTAGACCTAATTAATTTATGAATCATTTTAATGTAGGAAAGCAATACAGCAAGACAAAATTCAGAGGAAAAAAATTCCCTTGCTGAGACTGAAGAAAAAGAGAAGTCTGATTTAAAACCAGAGCAGTGTTCCCCAGGTTTAGCGAGGGCATCAAACCAGCAACCTCAGGGTAGCAGTCGGATAGCTGGTCCCTCCCACATTGTGGTGGCAGAGGAGATAACAGTCGGAGTACCCCTGGTAAGGAAAAATAGCAGCCACATTCCTAAAACCCAGTATCCATATGATTATGTATATCTGTTCTTTGAATGTGAGAAGAGTTTTCCTAATGATGAGCTATAATGATAAAACATTTGATGACATGAAAGCTGAATGCAAGCAAAGTGATGACTCAAAGCAGATATATCTATACAGCATGTATTGATTAATTTGCTTTAAATGAACGTCATGAATTTAGGAATTCTGTTTGTCCAAAGATTTCCTGTTTCCTTCTACCCTGTACATGTAATTTCTTCCTTAATTATCCATTAATGTTCAAAACTTGACATGCTGTTTCAATGGGCAGTGAAAAATATTATGGAATGAAGTTTTTATACCCCACGCAACTAGTTGCGGGAGGTATAATGTTTTTGACCCGTCCGTCAGTCAGTCAGTCCGTCAGTCAGTCAGTCCTCTTTTTTTGTCAGCGCAACTCCTCATAAACCGATGCACAGAATTTCGTCAAACTTTGCAGGTATTTAGGACACAATGTGTAGATGTGCATATTACCAGGAAATTCCGATTCCATTATTTTTTTCGGGAATTTCCGCAATTTTAAACTTAGGCATTTGGCTATACCTTGAATATAGAGATAAACGGTTTGTCAGCGCAACTCCTCATAAACCGCTGCACAGAATTTCGTCAAACTTTTCAGGTATTTAGGACACAATGTGTAGATGTGCATATTACCAGGAAATTCCGATTCCATTATTTTTTCCGGGAATTTCCGCACTTTTTAACTTAGGCATTTGGCCATACCTTGAATATAGAGATGAGCAGTTTGTCAGCGCAACTCCTCATAAACCGCTGCACAGAATTTCGTCAAACTTTGCAGATATTTAGGACACAATATGTAGATATGCATATTACTAGGAAATTCCGATTCTATTATTTTTTCCGGGATTTTCCGCAATTTTAAACTTAGGCATTTGGCCATACCTTTTATATAGAGATGAACAGTTTGTCAGCGCAACTCTTCATAAACCGCTGCACAGAATTTCGTTTAAACTTTGCAGATATTTAGGATACAATATGTAGATGTGCATATTACCAGGAAATTCCGATTCCATTATTTTTTCCGGGACTTTCCGCAATAAATACTTAGGTTTTTGGCCATACCTTGAATATTGAGATAAACAGTTTGTCAGCGCAACTCCTCATAAACTGCTGCACAGAATTTCGTTAAACTTTGCAGACATTTAGGACACAATATGTAGATGTGCATATTACCAGGAAATTCTGATTCCTTTATTTTTTCCGGGACTTTTCGCACTAAAAACTTAGGTTTTTGGCCATACCTTTTAAATAGAGATGAAAAGTTTGTCAGCGCAACTCCTCATAAACCGCTGCACAGAATTTCGTTTAAACTTTGCAGATATTTAGGACACAATATGTAGATGTGCATATTACCAGGAAATTACGATTCCTTTATATTTCCGGGAATTTCCACACTTTCCAACTTAGACTTTTTGGCCATATTTTGAATATTCAGATGAACAGTTTGTCAGCACCACTCCTCTTAAACTGTTGTACATAGTTTCGTCAACCTATGCAAATATTTAGGACATATTCCATTATTTTATCCCAAAGAGTTTTTGCAAGACATTTTGATGTGAAGATTTTTTTGCAATTATTGCCCTTTTTGATCTATACTATGTATTTAAAGTGCACTAGCTGTGCCTTTCATTATGTGTTTCACCGTCAAGTTTTGGAGGAGCGTGGGGTATGTGAGCTAGCTCACTTTTTCTTTCATTTTTATTCAGTTTCTCATTTTGAGTGACAAAAATAACTTGCAGATAGATAATTTGAAATACATACTGTACATGTTTTGATTTACAATATATCATATATTTTGATATATAATATTATATCAATGTGGAGATGTTGAGATAGAGAAGAATCCAAATACATAATTCAAGTAAAAACCGGAAAAATTTTCTTAAAAAAGAACAACTAGAAATCCCATATTACAGTCCAGCCAACTGAACGAAATTGCAAACAGTCATTTAAGCATGTTCTTTTACACTTTTACCCAGGACCTCATCTAACTGAAAAAAAGTTTTCAAGTGTGATATGTATTATCATAAACCTATATACATGATATATAGTACACATGCATTCCTTTTTTATCCAACAGTTCCGACCAAAGAAAGAATTCTTAAAGATACTTAAAAATGGTGGAGCGGAAAGCAATTTCTTCACAAAGAAAGAGGTATATTTTGTTAATGAGAATAATGATATTTTCTAAATGAGAATATAACTTATTAATTGATATTCAGATATGAGGATTGAATCACAATAATTTTTATTTTTTGAACAGATCATCCACTGCTTAAAGGAATATATAGGAAAGAGGCGTTTATATAACCCCTATGACCCGAGTGAAGTCAACTGCGGCCAGGACGAACTCAGTCAGGTGTTTGGTGTTCAGAAATTTACCATCGCTGATGTTCTGTAAGTTAAATAGTAATTTGTGTGCTACCTGAATTCATCAGTTAGTGATAAAGTACAAAACTTGGTTTTATTTTTAGCTCCTCTGAGCCAAATTTAAGGCTCAAAGAGCTAATGCTATGGCCATTTGTGCGGTGTGCGTAAACTTTTTAGAATATGGGCCATAACTCAAGAACCCCTTGGCCAATCAGTACCAAATTTGTCACAGGGTATCTTGGCCAAAGGGCTACCATTTATTCTAAAATAAGGGTTGGGACCCTTAAACAAGGGGAGATAATCAGGAAAACAAAACCAAAAGTACTGGTTGCTAAAAAATCTTCTTCTCCATAACCACCAGGCAGATTTTCACCAAACTTACATACAAGGATCAGGATATGTCGAAGATTAAAATTTGCACGGGGAATTACCCTTGGGCAAAGGGCGTGGTCTCAAGGTCACTTCAAAGTTGACCTAAATTTACAATTAATAAAAACGTGTATATTTTGCTTACTATAAGGACTAGGATCATCAAATCTTGTAAGTTGATGCATCTTACGACTTCACATCATGTTAACTCAAAAGTAGGTCACGGTGACCTACTTTTTAAATTTTGTGGGGATTTGTTTTCAAATTGATTTGAAGGCATATTTTGGACACTTTAAGGCCTATGATCATCAAACTTTGTCAGTTGATGCATCTTGGGTCCTCAAACAATGTCAACTTAAAAGTAGATCACCGTGACCTACTTTTGGAACTTTATGACTTATCCCTTTAAAAACATTAAATCCCATTATTTCAGACACTGGGAGGTTTAGAATCATCAAATCTTGTACTTTGATGCATCTTGGGACCTTATAACATATTTATGAAAAAGTAGGTCACTGTGACCTACTTTTTGAATTTTTGCCGACATTTGTTTTCAAATTGTTTAATACGCATATTTTGATTACCTTTAGACCTACCATCATCAAACTTGGTCAGTAGATGCATCTTGGGTCTTTGAAAAAGGTCGACCAAAATGTAGGTCATGATGACCTACTTTCGACATTTTATGGCTATATTTAAGTATCTCCGGTACTTATTGGCTTAGAATCATCAAACTTTGTGAGTTGATGCATCTTGGGTTTTCGGAGAGTGACGACCAAAAAGTAGGTCATGGTGACCTACTTTTGACATTTTGTGGCTATAATTAAGTATCTCTGGTACTAATTGACCTAAAATCATTAAACTTTGTTGATGCATCTTGGGTTTTCGGAGATTGTCGACCAAAAAGTAGGTCATAGTGACCTACTTTTGACATTTTATGGCTATATTTAAGTATCGCGGGCACTTATTGGCTAAGAATCATCAAACTTTGTCAGTTGAGGAATCTTGGGTTTTCCGAGAATGTCGACCAAAAAGTAGGTCACAGTGAATATCTCAGGTACATATTAGCTTAGAATCATCAAATTTTGTCAGTTTAGGCACCTTGGGTTTTCAGAGAATGTCGACTAAAAAGTAGGTCAACGTGACGTACTTTTCACATTTTATGGCTATATTTAATTATATCTGGTACTTATTGGCTCGGAATCATCAAACATTGTCTGTTGATGCATCTTGGGTTTTCGGAGAATGTCGTCCAAAAAGTAGGTCATGGTTACATACCTTTGAATATTTCAGGTATTTATTGGCTAGAATCATCAAATTTTGTCAGTTTAGGCATCTTGGGTTTTTGGATAACGTCGACCAAAAAGTAGGTCACCATGACCTACTTTTGACATTTGATGGCTATATTTAATTATCTCTGGTACTAATTGGCTTAGAATCGTCAAACTTTGTCAGATGATGCATCTTGGGTTTTCAGAGAATGTTGACCAAAAAGTAGGTCATGGTGACCTACTTTTGAATATCTCAGGTACTTATTTAAGGACAGATGATACAAACAATTTTTTTTCTTTGAAAAAGATTAATTATCATGTCACAAGCTTAGAAAAGTGGATGGTTCTTAGAATTTTTTCTCCGAAGAACTGGAATATGAAAAAGACTTGGAAAATATTAGTAATATTTCAATGAAAACACAAATATAGACAAATCACATTCAGTAAAGGTTTACAGGTGAAAATAAATTTCAGAATATGTTATCTTTGCGCTAAAAGTGTAAAATAAACTTAAGAAAAATATACCGAGCCAGGTGAATTTTATTAGGAAAAGCTAAATGGTAAAAATCAGCCTATGTGATATTGCCATTTTTTTATCATTTCGATCTTCCTCTTAAAATTCACCTGGCTTGGTATATTTTTCTAAGGTTTATATTACACTTTTAGCGCCATGATAACATATTCTGAAATTTATTTTCACCTGTAAATCTTTACTGAATGTGATTTGTCTATATTCGTTTTTTTATTGAAATATTACTAATATTTTCCAAATCTATTTCATTTTCCAGTTCTTTGGAGAAAAAATTCTAAGAACCATCCACTTTTCTAAACTTGTGACATGATATTTAATCTTTTTCAAAGAAAAAATTTGTTTGTATCATCTGTCCTTAATTAGAATCATCAGTCTTTGTCAATTAATGTATCTTGAGTCCTCAGAAAATTTCAATCAAAAGGTAGGTCACTGTGACCTACTTTTGGTATTTTATAATTATATTATAATATCTTCAGTCTTAACTGGCTAAATATTATCAAACTTCGTAAGTTGATGCATTTGGGTCTTATGATACTAATAGAGTTGGAGGCTTCTAATAGAAGTGATAGATTGTACAATTTATCAGAAGAGCGATTCAAGGCCCTTGGGCCTCTTGTTTAAAAAAAAGTATTATTTTAAATGGAAAATGAATATTTTTACATACAGCCAAATCTTGTTATTTCGTACTCCATGTGACCAAGGAAAAACTTTTGAAATGTCCAATACTCAGTAATTTGAGATATCAAGAGTAAAATATGAAAGAAATATGTTATTGATGGGCTTTCCAATCACTTCAACACATTTCAGAAGTTCAACTGTATTTAGGAACAATGTTTATCATTGTGTTGTATTGCCATTTTACAAAAAAGAAACAATATCTGTTCTTGTTCATTAGGAATTTGATCCATAAGAACTGCTACCAGCTCCCAGACACATGTCTGAAGAGAAGACAGGTGCTGGTTACCAGACCTCTCCCTAGAAACCAACAGGAAACTGGTGCTGCCCCCTCACAGGACACCGCAGCTACAGGGGAGGTAAGTCTGGTTTTCTTTTATTAAAGTACTGAAAGTACATCCATGAAAATTACAGAAAAATTAATTAAAGAAAGATTGGATGGGAAAAGTGTTAAATGTCGGGATGGGGGGTATAGGAACAACAAATAATGGGATCCTTAAAACCCCAAACTGACATTTTGAGGGTTGACAAATGCAGCTTTCAATACATACATGAATTTTAGAGAAGTAGCCCTGCAGTATGTGGCAGTCAGAGTGTGCCCACCTCCATCATTACCAGCAGTACTGGCCCCTCCACTTCAGGCGGGGCATCTGTACAGTCAACATCCACATCACCACAGGGGGGCGCCAGAGGAGGACCACAGAGGGGCGCCAGAGAGGGAGGGGACAGCAGGAGACGCAGGCGGAAGTCCAAAAGGAGACCACGACCAAAACGAAAGCAGGACAGAAAGAACAGCTCGGAAGCAGGACCCAGCCAAAGTTAGTATTAAAATTTTATTTTATGACTGAAAATGGTTCTTTTTCATGTTCTGAAATTGGTGTCCACATCTGAGTTTCTGATGTAAATACTTTTTGATATTTGTGATATTTTTTTAACCATTACTTTGAAAAGCTTTTTAATAAGAAAGATCTTTTCATATTCATATCTGACATTTATCAAGGTGAGATGTTTGGGTATTAGTAATTGACTGAATTTATTTACTTTTCAGATCGAGATCAGGCAGGTTGTTCAGGGTCTTCTGAATGTTTTGATCCATTGTACATTAAGGTGAAGGTGGAGACTGACTCAGACACAGACCACACCAGTAACCAGGTAGTTATAATCAGAAGATTACTGAGGTACTCACATAATGCAGTGGTAATCAGCGCTGCATCAAACAACGCAATCACTGACAAGTGCCTGCCTAAATTCCTTATATTTCCTCATACATAAATATCTGAGGGTGACACTGTTGATATTGGTATTAATGTTAAATAAAGTACAGTAAAACTTGATTATAACAGAGTCACTTGGACTCATGAAATTACTTAGATATATCTGATATCCTTATGAGGAGATCGTTACATTTACATAGTTGGGGATCCAAGATAACTTCTCTATATCCATGCATTCACAATATCCATGTTCGTATTAAACGAGTTTTACTGTAAAGATTTATAAGACGTTTCTTATGCTTAGAGCATGTTCAATTTGTAAATCTCACAAAAAATATAATTGGATTTACAATTGACATACGGTAAATAGCCAGAAGAGAATGTAATGATATTTTTCTATTTCCTATAGCAGGATGGGTCGTCCAGTAGAATTGAGGAGTCCTCAGATGACCTGTGGTTCCTGGAGGAGGATCAGCAGGACTCGGACACGTTCTCGATCGAGTATGAGATAGAGGATTCCGAGCCTTCCGACATCATCTCCGAGTCTTCCTCCGTCGTATCAGGACAGGTGAGGCTTGTATACTCGACACAAATCTTTTCATGGACAGTGTCTTTGTTAAGTTTCATAAACCCTCTGCTTACTCTTATAAAATGTTGCTTTAATGCTCATGATTTTCCAAAATAAATGTATTTTATGAGTAAAATACAAACAATTATATCATGTTGGCTTGCTGATGAGTTATTCCCCTTTATATACTTATTCTAAATACATAGACATTATGAGATTCATAATGCATTTCTTGTTTAAAATGAGGTATTTTATGAATTCACTTATAAGTGTATATAGAAATGGTTGGAAAAACATTATTTAAAGTTTTTATATATTGAATTTTATGTATGAGCCGAAAAATGGTCAGAACCAACTGTTTTCATCATTTTGTTGGTCGACTGACAAGCAGAAAATAACACCTGTTAAATAAAAAAGGAACTTGCTGTCTGCATATTTTAATATTGATGTTTTTGCATCAAGAAAGTTAGATTCATTTTTTTGGCCTTAGTTATGTTAGTGTGTATACATCTATAAAAATGAATTGTTCCCAATATATTTCTCTTGAAAGTGAAGATTGATTCCAGATTACTAATGTCTGAATTAATAAGATTTCACTGTATTTATTCCGACTAAAAATTAGCAGAATTGTGCACATTTACATGTACTGTAATGTTTACGGGTACTTTACACAGGATGTGATTGTGGTTTGTTCAGACAGTGATGTGGAATTCTGGGCAGATGAGAGTGATACTTGTACAGACTGGAATGAAGGAGTATGTATATGACATAATTGCTTGCATTGTCGTGCTCTATAGTAAACAGTTGTGTAGTTTTCTTTATCTGATATATTGTTGATTTTATGTTCTTTCAAGTCCCTCTCAAGAATTTATCACTCGGAGATGCACCACTTGCCGGTGGAGAGCTACAATTTTTTTTGTTCTGTACTTGTCACTCAGGGGCATTGGAATACCAATATACTCTAGAATTTTATTTTTGCAAGCAATAACCGTGTAATTACGTGAAAAATAGTCCTCCTGAATAAAAAGTGATTTACAGTATTTTCTTCTATATGTTTATTCCTAAGTTACATACTCTAAATGTACATGCAGGTTTTAACTTATCCCTTCCTTATATCAGATAAGTCGCCCTGTGGCACAGTGGTTAGAGTTTCTGCTCTAGAATCGCAAAGTAAGGAGTTCATCCTTACGTTGCGGGTTCCAATACCAGGCAGGTCCTTTGGATGAGACCATATAGACCGAGGTCCCATACATGTCGCAGTAGGAGCGGCATGAAAACGATAGAGAAATAACCACAATTCGTGGAGATTTTGTCTCACTAATAAAGAGTAAATGTCTATCTCATGAAAATGTGTCAGGAAAATTTTGTGATCTACAGTAGTACATTTATCAACAATACATGTAGTAGTTAGTCACATGGCTCCATATATTATTGATTCACAGAATTATTGAATGAAGGGAAATCAATTTACTCTGTTTTAGGTACAAAGCATTGATGCTTATTCCCATTTAATAATTTACTGCTTTTCCTTGACGTGAGGGATTTTGCATTGATTTTTATTTTCTTTTACTCAGGATCAATGGACTTGTGCATGTGGTACAAAAAACACCCCTGTCCAACGTCACTGTAAATTCTGCTGGAAAATACGCCCGGGCTGGCTTGGAGAGAAAAGAAAGCGTTCACCCTCCAGTGAAGAAACAGACTCAAATAAAAAATGGAAGGAGGATAGTGAAACAGATACTCCAGATATTGTGAGAGTCGCGGAAAAAGAGACACTGAAATCGGACTCCATAGATTCTGGAATTTGTCTTTCTAGTCAAGACACTGCATCGTCTCAAGCAGAACTTGTCCAGCTTGGGTCCAGGAGGATTTCACTTAATTACAGAAGTAAGGAATCCCCAGTTAAAAAAGCACCAGAGGATCCATGTATAATTTGTTTGAAGAGACCTAAAACGGGGAGTATCATTCACGGGGGCACAGGACATCAGGTTTGCTGTTACCCTTGTGCCAAACGCCTAAAGAGAAAGAAACGAAAATGTCCAGTATGCAGGCGTACCATCAAAAATGTCATAAGAAATTATGTTTTGTAAATCATGCAGGTCCATAATGCCAAAGAATTGGCAAACTTTTGATTACTTATAATTTTGAAGAACATTTAATGACTATGGAATACCGGTATGCATGTACATATTGTTAATTTCTGCAGTAGATATACTGTATTTTAATTTTCTTGTAAGACATATATTTATGGTCTTATCAAACTTTCTTTGTTTTTGTATTGGATGCATTACTAAGTTATGCAAGTGCTAATTGCTGTGAACCAGACATGTATTATGTTCATGTAGTGCTTCTTATGTTGTTAGGTTTGTAATTTGTAAGGAATTTCATTTCAAATTTGTATGGGCTGTGAGGCTATTGTTATGAAGTTTTACATAAATTTATGTAAATTCTATAAATAAATGATAATTGTACATATTTATGGGAATTATTGTTTTGTTATGAATCCCTGTTTTTTGTTTCATTGTTAAGCACATTGTTTGACATTTTTTTCAGTTTCACATCTACACAGTCTGTTTTTATTAAAACCCCTTTGAGGAAGAGAGAGCATATTGCTTTGCTGCTGTCTGTCGGTCCACTATCAGTTTCTGTTCATTTTCTTTGCAGAGGTTGCATATTGAAATGAAATTTGGTATACAGATTTATCATAAGATTATCTTGGTTAAGTTCTGTTTTGGGTACAGCCGGGCCATTTTGGACAGTTATGCCCCTTCAACTTAGAAAAATTTTAATTATATGCAGTTTCTAAAATTTGGTATATAGATTTTATCATAATAATATCTAGGTCAAGTTCTGTTTGGAGTTTGATCAAGCCATTTTTGAAAGAGTTATACCCCTTGGACTTCGAAAAATTTCATTTATGTAGGGTAGGGAGGAGTAAATGTTTTAAAAAACATCTGTAAACTTTTTATTTAATTTGTATACTGTATTTGTTAGATGAAAAATGTGAGAATTCTGTATGTGCGAAAAAGGGAAATATTCAATTGTAGAAAAATTCAATTACTGTATTCAACTGTATTCAATTGGGTAGGAATTCAAATCACTGACCTAGCTGTTGCAGGACTTCAAAAATATTAATAATTATTTGTCAATCATTAGTGTTTTCATAAGTGCTAGTATTCAACTTTTTTTCAAACTACATGTAATATATGTATAAATGTACTACTACCTCTTTTTTGTGAGCTTGATGTGAAAAGATACACAAGAATGGGAATTTTTTTCAAAATGTTTTATGAACTTTTATGAACAAACACATTATAAATACATGTAATGTATTGTAATTCGAAGAATTATTTTTTTTTAACCATTATGTATTATTTACATCCAATAGGAAAAAATTATTTTAGGAGGCAGCTAAAATAAGATGTTTTAATTTGTAAGTTCAAAGCAGCTAAAATAATTAAAAATAAATTATAAATTCAATGCTTGTTTATAGTGTATTTTTATAAACCAATTTATATAATCTTCATTGATTTTAATGTTACATGTTTTTTTTTCATTTTGAAGTCTGATATTCATTGAAAAGAAATTACTGTGTAATGATAGCAGTAACATTTGTGGACATTAAAATTATGGAATTTGAATTTTCGTTTTAAACACATTATACCTTAAATTCACTTCCTGATGGAACGATTTGAATGTGGTTTGGCTGAACTTAACCAAACACACATAACTTGGTGAAAGAAAAACCTTTTGTTTGTTATTATTAAATTTCCACATAGTGGATGGGAGATGCCATTAGCAATCTGATAAATTGTTTGAAAATTAAGTCAAACATGAAGGTCAAGGTCACAGACAAATATAGAACATTTGGAGACATGTTTGCACAGGAAATGCACTTTTTATGCCTCCCTTTGTGGACTAGTCAGAAGTTATTTGTCTTATCCTAAGGTTTTGGAGAAAAATCAATATACTTGGATACTTATATGTACATGTGAAAGCTCTGTCCTATCTGTTATGACCAAGGTTAGAGTTTTTGTTACAGACAGACAAACAGATGGATGAGATTTATGAAGGGGAGGGGCAAAAAATTTCAAATGTATAAGCAATATCATACAGTTCCGATTCCATAACTGTTTTTCTATAAGGAAACAATTATAGGCTAAATCTTTAGTTTTTTACCAGTCAGAGATATTCCGACATTTAAAAAAACAGACACTATAGATGCATAATCACAAATGCATCCGGTATAAAAGATGGTATGATAACTAATGCATTGTGTCCAAGAACAATAAAATTATTTTTAAAAAGTTTTTCATTGACATTTCAAAGTTATCGTTGTCTTCATTTTACTAGAATTTAAGAATGATTTTGACATCACATGTAGAAATGTTTTGATTAGTTACATTGCTAATAACATCAATTACATGTACATTTGGTTCCTAGTCAATTTGTCCGGACTCGATATCTGATTCAAGACAATATAACATTTAAAAATTCTGTTCCTACATACTGAAGCATATATCACGCACTGAACACTGTACATCCAAGACTTTGATTGGTTAAAATTACTAATAAATATTATGAGGGAGTTGTCCCAGGGAGTAGTCCTTAGATGAGGCAAATAGACAGTTTTATGGTATTAATTTTATTTTATATAGAGTTATCACAGTAGAGGGAAAATAAAGAATAAAGCAATTAGAACCTTGCAAGAATCTTGTGGGTTTTTTATGCAGGACTCATATTGTTTGTGAATGATATCTGGTGACGATTGATACATATGTAAGTACTGTTAGATTGTAACGTTTCATATCTAAACAATTCTTACATTTTTAGCTCACCTGAGCCGAAGGCTCAAGTGAGCTTTTCTGATCACATTTTGTTCGTCGTCCGTCCATCTGTCTGTCCCTCCGTCTGTAAACTTTTCACATTTTTGACTTCTTCTCAAGAACCACTGGGCCAATTTTGACCAAACTTGGTACAAAGCATCCTTAGGTGAAGGGGAATATAAATTTTTAAAATAAAGGGCCAAGTTATCTCACAAGGGGAGATAATCAAGAAAAGACAAAAATAGGGTGGGGTCATTAAAAAATCTTCTCAAGAACCACTGGGTCAGAAAAGCTGAAACTTATGTGGAAGCATCCTGGGGTAGTGTAAATTCTAAATCGTTGAAATCATGACCCATAGGGTAGGGCAGGGCCACAATAGGGAATCCAAGTTTAACGTTCAAATATATAGGAAAAATTTCTAAAATCTTCTCAAGAACAACTGGGCAAGAAAAGCTGAAACTTATGTGGACTTTTAGCATTCTGGGCTAAATTGTTCAAATCATGACCCCCGGGGGGAGGGCGGGGCCACAATGAGGAATCAAAGTTTTACATCGAAATATATTGGAAAAATCTTTGAAAATCTTCTTCTCAAGAACCACTGGGCTAGAAAAGCTGAAACTCATGTGAAGCATTCTGGGGTAGTGTGGATTCTAAATTGTACAAATCATGACCCCCGGGGGAAGGGCGGGGCCACAATGGGGAATCAAAGTTTTACATCGAAATATATAGGAAAAATCTTTGAAAATCTTCTGCTGAAGAACCACTGGGCCAGAAAAGCTGAAACTCATGTGGAAGCATCCTGGGGTAGTGTAGATTCTAAATTGTTCAAATAAAGACCCCCGGGGGAAAGGCGGGGCCACAACGGGGAATCAAAGTTTAACATAGAAATATATAAGAAAAATCTTTGAAAATCTTTTTCTCAAGAACCACTGGGCCAGAAAAGCTGAAACTTATGTTGAAGCATCCTGGGGTAGTGTAGATTCTAAATGGTTCAAATCATGACACCCGGGGGAAGGGCAGGGCCACAATGGGGAATCAAAGTTTTACATCGAAATATATAGGAAAAATCTTTGAAAATCTTCTGCTGAAGAACCACTGGGCCAGAAAAGCTGAAACTCATGTGGAAGCATCCTGGGGTAGTGTAGATTCTAAATGGTTCAAATCATGACCCACAGTGGAAGGGTGGGGCCACAATGGGGAATCAAAGTTTTTCATCGAAATATATAGGAAAAATCTTTGAAAATCTTCTTCTGGAGAGCCACTGGGCCAGAAAAGCTGAAACTTATGTGCACATGGAAGGATACTGGGGTAGAGTAGATTTCAAAATGTCTAAATTATGATCAGTGGGGTAGAGTGGGGATGCATTATGTATTACAAGGGGGAAATCTGGTAAAAAACAGAATGGTCAAAGCTTCTCAGGTGAGCAATGTGGCCCGTGGGCCTCTTGTTTAAATCACATTGTGAAATAAATTCTGTTTGAAT